AAAAGGACTTATCCTATGAAGAGGTACCAATTAGGATATTGGATCAAAAGGTGCATAAACTAAGGAACAAAGAAATTCAATTGATCAAAATACAATGGAATAATCATGAAATAGAAGAGGCCACTTAGGAAGGGGAAGAGGAAGCTAAAAACAAGTATCCAACACTATTCGTCCAATCAGAAGGTAAATTCCGAGGACGAAATTTTAATTAAGGTGTGGGGGATGTAGAACCCCAAATAATTTTAAACACCTTAGTGGCACTAAGACATGAATATTGGATGATTAAAGTATACTTCATGTGTACGGCATACACCTTCATGTCTTATGGTACCTCCGGGTACGGCATGTACTTCCGGTCAAGGCGTCGTGCTAAGTCATGACTCTACATGTTTGGGATTCTACCGGAAATCCTACTATGAAAATGTTTCTAAAGTTACAGCTTTGAATTGTATAGCTTGATCACAGTGCACCAATGATATCTATCGAGTTTTTTTAACTCACGGGTTTAACCCCTTATCTACAGATTGATATGATTCTATTTTGGGCCTGGATGATGGAAAAAATGGAAAGTGGTGCAACGAGCCCATGGAAAATCCGGTAAACAAGTTATTTAGATTTATTTTTGTGAACGTTTTCAATGTTATTTTTTTAAAGTATTTGAATAACGCTGAACGCGAGGACAAGTTGTATTTTCTTCAAATAAATTATGTTCCGTTATTTTTTTATTCAGTGTTTTATTTAAAGTATTCGAAAAGTTGTTGTTAAAATTATCATTGTAAAAATTAAGCTTCCTATAAAATATATTCTCCTATGACTAAACCATCGGTTAGTTAAGTAAAGTAAGTAGCGTTCCGGTCCACAAGGGGTCGGGGCATTACAGTTTTTTTTAAGGACTTATTTCCTTCTCACAGATGTATGTTATATGTGGTGATTTGGACTGTACTAGTACTTTTGATATTTTGCATACATGTCTGTACTTTGCATTTCATGTGTATTATTTTTATGTTGTTTTTTCATCACATGCCAACCATTATGGAATTGAGACATCAACTTTTTCCAAGAATCTTACTAAAGCAAATTTTCCCCTTCCCCCTCAGTAGTGCACGTAACATCAATAGCTTCAGGAATCTTTTTTTTTCTTGTGAGTTATTCATGTCCTGCTACGAGGCCATTATTTGTACTAATGACAATTTCCTATTGAGCAACTTCTATAAATGGAAAGATGCAACAACTCTCTTTTATTGCAAACAATTTCTTGACAAGAGCACTTTTAACGATTTCTTCCTATTATGTTTCATCTCTAAGTACGTGGGGCGACATCATTAAAATAAGTAGGTGGAATGACCCATTTCAGCTTCAATTGTGTGCTTCTGCCCTGCTCTGACAATGAAGACGATGTTGGGGAAGAAGAATTTGTGTAAAAGTTCTGGGATAACATTGTGGAGTGGTTTTAATACTGCCGTATTTCAGAAGTGGATGTGGCAAACTACTATTGATAACAAAGATGTTGAATTAGAAGATTTCCATTCACACGAAACGGACACATGTTTTATGCTGGATGCCATGAAAGGTAGTCCAGAACAATGTTACGCAAATTCAGGATGTATCCTACAATGTTGTGGAAATTCATGCATATACTTCGCGACGATCTCGGACTGCATAGTGGGTTGCACGTTGATGTTTATGAACAAGTTGGGATATTTTTGTTCATATTCACCCATGGAAAAGGCTGTAGACAGGTGCAAACGCTATTTAATCATTCTTTGAAAATTGTTAGACACTACAAGATTGTGCTTAGAGTCGCCGTCGAATTTGGTTAATATCAAATACAACCTAATTCAAACTATAATCACATGTGGAGCATCACGTACCAAATATGAACAAGCATTCGATATTCAAAATTGCATAGGTACGATTGACAGAATGCATGTCAGAGCTGAATTGCCATGGGACGACGAGTAAATTTTATTGGACGAAAGGGCATCCCAATGAAAAATGTTCTAACAGCATGTGACTTCAATTTATGTTTTACATTTGTGCTTGCAGGCTTCGCGGGAACCACACACGATTCACGCATTTTGGTATGGGTTATACATAGTCCTGAAATTCATTTTTCGCATCCTGCCTCGGGAAAATATTACCTTGTTGATTCGGGATTTACCCACAGATCGGGTTACATAGCTCTGTATAAGGGATCCGATATATTGTACCACAGGCGGGCCGTAGATGAAACTTTCGCAACGCCCAGGAGAATTTTAAATTCAAACATTCGTCGTGTAGAAATGTGATCGAGCGTGCTTTTGGTGTGTGGAAAAGTTGATGAAAAATACTTGACCGTATACCAAGTTATAATTTCAAAGTGCAGACTACTATTGTCGTAGCTACTATAGGTATACACAACTTCCTTCGACGCGCAAGAGTTAAGGACGAGGCTTTCGCAAGAGTAGAGACGGATCTTGAAGCTGCAAAAGTGGATCTTCTAGACAAATAAGAACAAGCCGCTGCTGAAATGAATGCACCAGAAATGCATCGAAATGAGTGGGATCAATTTCACTATTATTTGACTCAATGTCAGTAGGTGTATGTTCATAGAATAATGGTGTAATCGTTAAAAAATATAGTATGTTGTGTCTATCTTCGTTCATTGTAATGATTTTACGAGTGGGAAAAATAAAAAGAAGAAAAAAGAGCTCCGGCATTGCTTTTGTTCATTTGTTGAGTTCACGTTCATTTCGTCATTTTTTTTTTGTAATTGTTGGTGGGCCCACGCACTACAAAATTCTTTCTTGGAAATATCTAAATGGGAAAAGACTGCAGAACGTAAAGTTGGTTAAAGTATGATACTTCAAGGGTAGACTGTGGAGAAATGATTTGAAATTCTGAACAAATTGCGTGAGGGACAAATTTGTCAATCTATATTGTTTGTAACAAAGCACACAGTGCACCGGCTACAATGGGACCCTATGATATGACCCAAGAATCAATTCCAACTTGCGTGAGGGACAAATTTATCAATTTATGTTGTTTGCCTCAACAGATGATTTGACCCAAGAATCAATTCTGATGAGGCAAAAATCGGAGTGACCTAAGAATCAATTCCAACTTGCGTGAGGTACAAATTTGTCAATTTAACCCACTTTTGACCCCATTATTTGGATTTATAGTGGGAGAATAGTGTTTTTCTGAAAATGGATAATTGTAAAAGAATGTAAAATTTTTGATTTGCGTGAAATATTATTTTATTAAAAATTGTGTAATTGAAAATATGATAAGAATAAAATTTAAATTAAATTGATGAGTTTTAAAGCGGACAAACGAGAGCTTATGGATTGTTTGCCTCAAGAGAATTGATTCTTGGGTCACATCATACATGCGCCCCCAATAGAGGGTCAGCCTTCTTCAAGTGGCTTTCTTATGTGCTGCTCTTCATTAGCTCCCCCTTGTCTTCATTATATGCAGTACTAATTTCCCCCTTTTGTGTTTGTTTGTGCAGAAATGAAGTTGGAATCACCTACTACGTTGATCTTATGCGGGAAATCAAGTCCAGAGAACGAATTAGCCAGGTTTTTGAAGATCAATAACACAATAAAACTTCCAGATAATGCTTCGATAAATGTTGTTTTGCATTCGGAGAATGAAGAACAAGAGAGCTTTCAAAAGGATGCGTTTCAGATAGATTCATATATGAATTCTCTTTCAACTTCTCGTGTCGGAAGATTCCTCATTTACTCTCCCATATTACCGACCACACACGATATTGTTTCCCAGTGGGCAATATTTCTTTTTTTCTTTAAGTATCTTGTTGTAGACTCATGCGAATTCATTTTATTCTACAGTGTTAAGTGTTTGGTGTTGATAATTTTAACCATGGCAAGGTATAACACTTAAATTCATAAGGTACCACGAATTCGTGCTGCATATTGTGCTTCAGCAATTGACATGTTCTTGCTGTATATTTCACCAGTTTTGGATCCAATGTTTTCACGTGAATTCTAAATACCCAAGCAATAAAATTTGTTGTCTTCTGGCATAAAGTTGATAATATTATGCGAAATGTTAAGAAATGTACTATTTTGTTGTAAAAGTACTGCAAACCCATATCATACCATGTGCTATGTTGTTTAGACTACATTATCTTATGTTCTTTTGTAGTAATTTTTGCGAGCTGCCGTTAGGCACAGTATGTGTTGCTGATGTGCAGCTCAAAGGCAGAGGTATTAATCGTGAGGTATTATTTAGGAGGAGTACTAAGTTTTTCATTCACTAATTTCTTTTCTTCTTTCTTTTTTTTGGGGGGGTGGGTGGGGTTTGAAGGTCGGTCAAAGAATGTGTGGGAGTCGCCGAAGGGATGCCTAATGTTTTCATTTTCATTACAAATGGAAGATGGTCGAGTGGTGCCACTTGTGCAGTATGTTGTGTGCCTGGCAATGGCTGAGGCAATTAATGATGTTTGTCTTCGAAATGTAAGTGACTTTCGTCAAATTTTTGTTTAGTATCCATATATTTGTAGAATCATTTCTTGAGATGCATACTGAAATTCAAATTTTTGGCAATCAAATTACCATAAATTCTTTGCCTGCTGTAAAATGTCTGCACTTTTTGCATTTATGTTTAACCAAGTGTCATGGTGTGGTATGCTAGCATCGATGAATGAAATTCATTATAAGCACCATGTTTCCGAATTTGGAATAATATGTGTAAAGCAAACACTTTAGTGAGTGGGTTAAGCACTACATGGAAGGTTGTCAAGCATTGCTTAATATACTAGGTTTTTGGCAAGCAGTTCTTGACATTTGGTTTGTTAAATAATGCCCCACACATTGCCTTTTGTCAAGCATTGTTTGATACAATGTTGAGCGCAACTTAAGTTTTCTGTAAAGCACTACTTTATAGTATGTCAAGCTCTACTTAACGCCATGTTAAGTAATGCTTGATAGAAGGAAAAATATAAAATCAACAAATCAACAAATACATATCAATATTCTTTTACCATATTTTGTACCCAAATTAACAAAGCATTGCTCAACTCCCAGCATACACTCTGGTTAAAGTCATTATACGTCCATATGCCCAAATTTGTTTTGCGAAAATGAATTTCAGAATGAACATATCACGGTTGGTTTAGGATTTACTTCCTTTAGAATGCTTGTTGAATACCCTGTCAAAAACTTGTAGCACTTGAAAACAAAAGATAACAAACAAAGAAACATTGGTTGATTATATGAAATATGGTTGTAGCATAGTGGTAAAAGCTTCTTGCTTTTATTTTGTTGGCAAAGGTTCAAATTCTTCCAACCACAATCTTACTTTTTCCTTCGGAAAATTGGGCAATTAGTCCCTCTAAACTTTATCTCTTCTAGAAATTGGTCCCATTCTTTAAGATCTACTACTTTAATTTGACAATTTTGTATCAAAATGTATAATAGCAAGTGCAGAACTACGAATAGGAAATACTTTATTAGTATCTACAGGACCTCAATTACCAATAAGTTATCTAAGCATGTTGAAAATTCGTCCCAGAGTCGCTCTCCAACCAAAACGCTTAAAGGAGCTCCTGTATCAATCACTTCCTTTCCTCTCATCAACCATCTATAGCACTCATAGTTACAACTCTAACTTGATTATATCCTAATAATTGTTGTACCTCGCAAGTCTCATTAATATTACTTGACCAACATTATTTCGACCTTAACTATGAGAGCGTCATAAATATTAGGCACCTTGCTTGACGGGGCTACATCTAGTACCGAACATATGATTTGGAAGATATGTCCTAGGTTTTTTTTGTTTTTTTTTTTTTTCAAGCATGGAAATTCATAATAATAAACAAATTATGTCGATTTCTTTTGCAAAAATTATCTAATTTAAAATAAAGGTTCCATAGCATAACAATCAGTTAATTCAATCAGAAGTGAAGTTAGCACTCAATTTCGTTGTCACAATTCAATCATATCCAATTTCAATTGTTTACTTATTCATCCACTTGAAATTTTCAAGTTCAACCAAGCTATTTTCAAAATTTCAAGTGGATGCATAAGAATTTTTCAGAATGTTTTAATTTGTCTATAATGATACACAATCTCATCTACATTAAAAAAGTATTCTATGGAATTCGTGCTTGAACTCTATTTACATTTGGATTCATTATTTTTATATCATTGGTTATTTGTATTTTTTATTTTAGCATATTGATTTACGCCTAACTATATCTTTTATTTTCATTTTTTTATACCATTTCATAGATGAATTCCGCATACCTGTGATTTACACATACAACATATATCACTGTCAAGTTTTTTTATTAGTTAGGTTAGGTATTTCAAGTCCAGGAAATGTCAAAAATAAAAATTGTGTTGAAATAATTTGGATCTCGATGAACCAACCCAACCGGTCAGTTACAAGCAACAAACATTAGCAGGTCCCCCAAAATAAGTTTTTGTGGCTCTGCAGCTGTCCTTAGAGAGAATATTCTGGAAGTATCAAAGTTCAACAATATTTGACCTTTGTTCATGATTGAAAGTGGAGGAATGTTTGAATGGTATGTTACAGAATGGTCTTCAATCATATCTAAAGAGAGAGACAACTTATTCATTTATTTAGTTTTTTAGAGGGGGATTTGAGTATTAGTGGAGCTGAAAAATTTCTCCTCTCAAAGGAAAAAGTAAAAAACTAATCTTATAGTTTTCCACGATTTACTGTTCTTTCTTGAGAATATACGGCTATGTGCACATTATTTAAAAGAGCAAAATCGGGTATTAAGGTACATTGCATCGGAGAGAGGCGAGATATAAGCCTTAATGCTCTTTAAGGAGTAAGCCCCAACGTTAACCCATAAAATAATTCAAAATTTACAAAATACTATATTATAATTATAATAAACTGTAAGCTAACTAAGATTTATAATAAAGCATTTCAACAAATTAAATTCTTTTTTGCAACTCAAAATGAATCAACAAAAACAATAATGATCACATAACAAGTTCAACCTCAGCAGCCCTAATTCGATGGTTTGAGTATCCCACAGTGGGTCTAGCTACAAGCTTTGCCAAATGGTATTCAAAGAGTAAGCCATGTGCTCTTTTTAAAACAATGTAGATGGATGGTTTAATCATATATCGTTTAATAAATTTACTCTTTTTAAGTCTTGATCTCAAAACTTCCATTTTGATTTTCATGATCTTGGTACTGTAATCCTTTTCAGGGCATACCACCTCTAAATGTTAGAATAAAGTGGCCAAATGATCTGTATTTAGATGGTCTTAAAGTGGGAGGCATTTTGTGCACATCAACATATACATCAAAGAAGTTCAATGTCAGTGCTGGTAAACAGTTCCATTCTTTGACTATACACTCATCTAAACAATAACATTTACATACTCCTTAATTGAACTGGAGAAAATTTCATTAACAAGTTTTGCTGTTGTTATGTTCTCAATATACTCTGACTGGGCAGGCTGAGTTGTTTCCGTTTGTTCATCTTGGTGTGGTTCCCACATGAGATTATACAAGATTAAATCATTAAAAATTTCCTATCTTGTAGGAATTGGGGTGAATGTTAGTAATGAGAAACCAACAACATGCTTGAATGCAGTCATACAAAGATTAACCTCTGTTGCTTATCAACTACAACGAGAAGATATCATGGCAGCTTTCTTCAATAAATTTGAGAACTATTACGATATTTTCCAATCTCAAGGTGATTATTATTCTCATGATTTCCAACATTATGTTTACATGTTATGTATATCCTCACTCTATCACCAATTTGAATGTTACCGTTTTAATTTATTATTATTATTATTATTATTATTATTATTATTATTATTATTATTATTATTATTATTATTATTATTATTATTATTATTATTCTTTCTTTCAGTACTTACGTTTGTCATTATGTTTTATAGTTATAAATCTTTTCAAGTGAGACATATATATGAATTTAAGAATTATATAGCTCTAAACTGTTGTCATATTAATAAATAAATATCACCTGTAATCAATTTCAGAATGGTGGAATAAGATTAAATTTTATTTCTTTATATATGTGGCACTAAAATTGGTTTTGATTTGATGTATCATTCTGCATCATAATCTTGATCCTAGTGGAAGTGTGTTTAAACCACACTTTCTGGTTCTCCTGAAGATCCTGCCCTGCAGTACCTTTGTACTAGAAGTTAGAAGGGAATCATGAAATCTAGATGTCCCCCCTCTACCACTTGATCATTCATTTGATCTTGATTTTTGTGGAATAAAAGTGAGATTGGAATGAATCTTCATAGCTCTCCACTGTTAAAGGGGTCCAGGAATGAATCACACATTTACAACCAAACTTTACGTGAAATAATGATCAAGTTGGAGAGAGTTGAAAAGACACAGCTTGTTGAAAGGATCCGTTCATCCACCATTTTCAACTCATTCCCTTAAACAAGAGGTCATGAGAGATGAGTTGCAAAACATGTTTTTGGAGTTAGTTGCAGAGCTGTGCATATTTTGTTGATTGCCAGACTCTTCTAGATGATGATAGCTTACATATTGTAAAAATAACAAATTTCTTTTTGTGGCTATCATGCAGGATTTCAAGCACTTGAGGAATTGTACTACAAGACATGGCTGCACAGGTGAAATTACGAATCAGTAATTCTCTCCTATGTGTTGTGTTTCTTAATTTTATTTGTCAAAGCGATGTGCCTTACTGGTTTGCTGGGGTGGAGACTAAAGACAATAAATACATGCCTGAAAAATTTTGGAAGCACTTTTTTTAAATAGTTACGATGCTTTAAACCTCTATCCTAACCAAAAAAATGATCTATCCAAAATTTCTTTCGCATACTAATTTTATAATTAGGGAAAGATTTCAGGCCCTGTTTGAGCCCCATTATTTCTTCATTAAAATGAAAAATATGATCGTTATCCATCACATCAAGCCATCATATTTGACTTTTTATCTTTTGTGTGGGGTCCATAACGACTATATTTTTCATTCTCATTTTTACAATAATGTAGCTCAAACGGGGGCTATGTGGTTCTTTTTTGACAATTTTATAATAAGTAATTATTATTCTTGCTGCTAATTTTCCACTGGTATGCAGCGGACAGAGAGTTATAGTACAGGAAAAGAAAGAAAATCAGGATCAAATTTCAGAGAATGTAGTTGCCATCCAGGTGAATTAACGGATTACATGGCCTTAAAATGCTCTCTTTTACATCTTTTTTTTTTTGGTACTCTTTTTTTGTGGACTTCATTGTTAGCTAATTACGATTCATGTTTTCTTTGTCTTTGCTTAAAGCAAGAATATGCTATGTTTAGTTAATGGAGTCGGGTCCATAGACAGTTATAAGAACAATTAGATTTTATTAATGGTTTAGAGACTGAATAGTTAAGTGGGAAATGTGAAATCTGGGATCTCGAGAGAGCCTTGTTGACAAAATTAATTAGCTATAAATCTCCTGAATGTGTCATAATATAAGAATATGTATGATTGCTCACGTTTGTCTTTACATCCTCTTTTAGTTTCTTGCGTAGGTTTGCATTTGAAGTTCTTGTTGTTCATAGATTCCACAAAATGTGTTCTTATTGGATTTGTAAACTCAGTGTACAAAATAAGACCATCTCAGTCGAACCAAGAGCTGTTGTAGTTATTGTGACTAATTATCTGCTTTATATGGATCTTATTGAGGCACAAAAGCCATTCCAGACTCTCAACACTTACACTTGAGTATGGGATGTGGATCATTCATTGTAAATGTAAAATCCTCGACACACCCAAGATTGGCCTAAAACTGTCATTGTTGCCTTAAAATGGACCTGAGATATTCTCATCCAATAAAAATGTTGGATAATTGCAAAAATTCTTTATCTTAATATTTGAATAATGAAAATTTCTTAATATCAGGATTGTTGCTTCTGTTCAATTTCCAAAGTTACTTTTGGTGTGAACTTATAATTTTTGTATAAAAATTTCTACTAACATACATTTTTAAACAAATTTTTTTAAATCAAATTCTCTTCCCTGAGTAGTCAACCTGCTAGGAGGTCTGCTCTGAATTGATATCAAATTGTTTACCAGGCTCAGAGCTCTCATCTGAGTTCTTGCATAGACTCAGAATCCATATGTTCTCACATTGTGATGTTGCGAGGGTGTGTATGGCGGACGCTTTTTTATGAACTGGTTTTGATTGGGTTTCCCTGAGTAGTAATGGGTTACTAGTCATAAAACCAATTGGTTTCGGATCCGATAAGATGGGAGCAGTTTTGTAGAAAGTAGTAGTTCAACTATCATTTAGGTGACTTGGGCAGAAGGAAATAGCAGAATTTTGATTTATGGAATAGGGCACAATTTTAGTGTACTTTTGGGTTCTATTGATAAGGAGTTCAAGCATTTCCTTTCTCCATTACCATAGTAGGGCAGAACAGTATGTTTTATTCTTGATTTACCCATTGCTTTTTTGTTGATACAGGATACATTATCCTTTTGACAGATGTAATTCTGTATTTTAGTGATAAATAAATTATTGTTTTTCCGGGGAAAAAAAAGGCTTTTTGCATTGGTGAGACTCAGATTACGAGCAATCATTTCTTGTGAAGTAGAGGTTCAAGTAAAAAGGATAGGATTGCTTAATAGACTCATTTGCAGTTCGGGTAAATTTAATCAACACTCATTCAACTTTAACATTGTTAGTTTTCACTTTAATGAGTTACCCAATGCTCACTCATTTTTTCATATAATTACGGCCATCTACCACTCGCTCAGTAGCCATTCCAAATTGTGGAAGGAAAATCACACGTGGCAAATGACAATCCTACGTGGCGCGTTGACAACGTTAAACATGTCCATGTCACAAAAAATGCACCAACCAAACACTCTTTTCCCATCCTCAATTGCAAAACCCCTTTGAATTAACCCCAAATCCATATTCCACATTTTCACGGGACAAATACCCTTAAATTTCTCTTGAACATTATTCATTCCTCATCCATATCTTCTTGGAGGATGAGCTACAGAGAGCTATTAAGGCTGCCATTGTTGCTTCATGAGTCATGAGGCCTGGCTTTATATTGCAAAGACCAATTGTATAAATATTCGTATAGCATAATTACCTTTAATCTGATGATGTACTCTTCCTCTTTCTCAACAAAGAAAGCGTTAAATTTATCAAGTTCATCCTCCAATAACTTGACGAAATCTACCTCCGCCTCAGTCATAACCACCCTTTCTCCACCACCGCCAGCAGCTAATTCACCTTCCACTTTCTGCCTCTTCTTGGCCCTCCCCACTTCCCCAGCTGAAGACGACGGCCCCTTCGGCTCTATCAACTTGAGCTTCTTTTTCAGCCTCTTGTATGGCAAAAACTTGTCCCTCCATTCAGGTAAAGTTTCATCTATTTGATTGCTCAAAACTCTTTCCTAACTTCATACCGATTTAAATCCAAAAAACGAAACATTAAAATTATGGGTTTGATTGAAAAACACAAAATTTAACAAATTGAAATTGCGGGTTTGGTAGAAAACAAAAAATTACTGAATTTAGAATTCTGGATTTGATTGAAAAACAGAAAATGAATGGATGTAGATGAAAGTGTGAAGAGGAAATGAGGGAAACAAAGGGGTGAGTGGATGTGGGGTTAATTCGAAGGGATTTTGCAATTAAGGAAGGGAAAAGCGTGTCTGGTTGGTGCATTTTTGTTGACATGGACATAGTTAACTTCATCAACACGCCACGTAGGATTGCCGTTTGGCACATGCGATTTTCTATCCACAATTTGAAATATTTACTTAACGGGCGATGAATGAGTAATTATGTCATAAGTGAGTATTGGATAATCCATTAAAGATGAGTGAGAAAATAGTAACAATTTTAAAGTTCAATGAGTGTAGATTAAATTTACTCTTTGCAGTTCAAAATTGAAAAATAAATAAATAAATAAATATATATATATATAATAAAAAACTAATTCCTTTTCGCTATTGGTCTTTCATGCCAAAATGGTCTGACTTACTCTATGCGTAAATATAAAGAAGAGTAGCATATTGGGTAAAAGTTATGTAAGGTCTACCTGCTTTTTAGCTATCTCAAAGTATCCATAGACAGGTTAATAGAGCATTGTTTCATCAGTTGTTAGGATGTCCATTTGCTGAATTGATGTTGAGTGTCTATGCCTTTTCTTTGAAGCTCAACTAATTATCTTTTTAACATTCGTAGATGGCATAGCTTTGTCTTGAGGCCATAGTTGAGTGACTATATAGAAATATGGAAAATCAATTCTAACCTAATCATTGCTATATGGTTATACTGTCTCTAATAGGTATTCGAGGCATTTCTTATGAGTATCCATGACTAATGGATAATTTCAATGAAATGACATCATTGAAATGGCAACATCATGCACAGTATTTGAGCTTGCAAACATCATCTTCCCTTGCGTGCTTTATCAAGTTTTT